CCTGGGACCATCAATGGAGAAGAGCGAAGAGCGGAATCCTACCCAGAGAGGCAGTGAGGCCTGGGATGGAGGCAAAGAAGACAACATCAAGAGATGGTGGGGATGGGGGCTCGGGATCAGGAGATGGAAAGGGGCTGAGGACTGTGGTGGGAGCGGGAGTGCAGGTTTACAGAGTATACCCCTTGGTTGGGTGAGGATGTATGGACAGGATAATAACTATGCCAACGAAATAATGGATGATGGAATGAATGTAAAGCTGATGTTCTCCCATGTAGACTATCACACAATTCACAATAAAACATTAAGAAAAAAAAAGAAGAAATGAAGGGCACTGTCCTGCCTTTACACCTTACACTATTTCCTTGGTCTATGAAGTGATCTGAATAGACCAAGGAAATAACAAAGCTTAGCCCAGTGCTGTACAATAGATCTACGATGGGGGCCAGATATGCAACTAAAAATTATACAATAAAGTACAAAGAAATAAGTGAAATTTATTGATGTGTTTTATTTTACCTGACAAAAAAGTATAAACATTTTAATATGTAAGCAATTTGAGAAGCCAGTGATATTTTAATAATGTTTAATTTGGAAGAGTCATACTGCAAAAGGCCAGCAAGTGTATGTGGCTGGTGGCTCCTAGCATAGGTTTTGAAGTCACTTGGTTGCACTTAGAATGAAAACAGCCCACCAAAAAACAAAGGGGGATCTCTGAGCACATAACTCTGAAACAGGTGTTAATTCTCGTATAGTCCTTTACTATAATCCTAGGATGTTATACTTCTCCCACTGTGCAGATGAGGAAATAACACTTGAGAAGTAACTGGACTAAGGTTACAGCAAAAGCTATCATCTGCTCAAAGGAAATCATCCAAAGTGTGGAAAGAACTTAAATCATCTTTGTTACTATTAAGTGTCATCAAGTCAGTTCTGACTCACAGCGACTCCATAAGGGTTTCTGAGGAGTGACTGGTGAGCTTGAACTGCCAACCTTGCGGTTCAAACTGACCTCTATCATCTTTGGAGGGTTCAAATGGGAATCCAAAAAAAAAATGTGTCATCATCTTCATTTTAATGTAAAACAAAATTGAAAGTATAGATCTTATAATTTTAAAGTAAAACAAAATTGAAAGTACAGATCTTTACATTTTAATGTAAAACAAAATTGAAAGTACAGTTCCTTTCATTTTAATGTAAAAACAAAATTGAAAGCATAGATCTTTTCATTTTAATGTAAAACAAAATTGAAAGTATAGAAGGGCAAGAAAAGATTTTCAGAACATTGTTCACCAGGCTTCCTGGTAGCCAGGATGGCTCTTGAAGGGGGTAGCAGGGATATATACATACTGACTCTGAATCAGTTAGAGCAACTCTGCGACTGTCAAGAATTATGATTCAGTGGCACACTAGTCAGGGACATGCAATCCATATATTACTGAAAAAACAAAAACAAAAAAAAACCCCAAAAAACTATGTCAGGCTTATACAAGACCAAATGCTAGTTCAAGTCCCCTAGGCAAAGTCAGCATTTTGGAATACAGTCACCAAAGGGTGGGTAGGAATATGGAAGAGATCAAGGAAGGAAAGGTGAGGGAGACAGAGATGCGACCTCCAGAAGAGATGCAGACAACCAGGTGTTCGGAGATCTGAACGGACCGATGTGACTAACACATCTGCAGTGAATTCACAACATGAGCCAAGCAATCTCACAGGTTCTGTTGTTTTGTGGTTAGTTGCCATCAAGTTCCTTCTGAGGCAAAGTGGCACCACGTGTGTAGGGCAGAATTACTCCTGAAGGTTTTCAAAGCCATGACCTTTCGGGAGCAGCCTGCCACATCTGTCTTCTGAGGCACCTATGTGAGAGTTCCAACTGCTAACCTGGTAGTTGAGTGCTTAACTATTTGCCCCATGCAAGGATTCCAGTGCAATTTTATAAGAAAGGAAAAAGGGTAAACACAGGGATAAAATGGGGACGGTCAATCTCACCAGGAACCACCTCAGAGCTACTGGTTGTCAGGCAGGATTTTGCACAAATACCCCTCACCCTGGTTCTTACCGCCGCCCCCTCCCTTCCCATATCTACACTAACTGAACCTTCCCTAAAAACAATGGAGAAGTCTTCTTCTCCACTACGGCTTTGTTTTGAATAAGAAGTAGACAATCTCAAACTTAGCATACTGTTAGGAGATGTGAGAATTCTAGTGGGTACCAGCAGTATGAGTGAAGAACTCAAAAGCAGAATCATAACTACCTCAAGTTTGTACACAACCAAGAAGAATCCATTCTATGCACCCAACACTAAATGACTTCCAAAAGCATTAGAGCTTCAAGTTTCTAGGCCGATTAATTTAATGACTGGAATAAAAAAAGTTATGAAAGATCAGAAATCACAGTCTCACCGTTTGAGAACATTCTTAGGATTTAAGTATATAGACATTTTAAGCAAATAAAATCCCCTAGAAAAACCTGGAGCAGTATTAGCATGCCAGGAGCCTACTTATCTTTCACTCTGGAAGAACCATGGTGCTGCAATCACTGAATAAGACAGAAAGAGGTTTCCCAGAGGACACATCAGGTGTCCTCATAGTCACTTAAGCCCTGATGCTAAATAACTCATGTAGGGCTTTCAAAGGAAAGACTCAAAGCACACCAGAAAACACCGCAAGTCCATCTAATGAAAAGAATTGCAACTACCTAAGTCAGAAGGCAGAGAACCATCCACATCCTGGCCTCTTTCAGCTGCATTTACTCCTCAGCCCCAAGCCAAAGCCTTTCCTGCATGCATTTCTCCTGCATGCATTTCAGGCTGTTACAACTCTGCTTAAACTACTATCTGTGAATTTACAGAATGCCTTATCCATGTCATGGTACCCCACACACTACTGGTCAAGAAAGTTACTTTATAGCAAATGAAGTGCAGCATTGCATCCATGTTCATGGAATGTACTGGTCTTACCATATTCACCATCAGAGTCCTGGTATGGCACTGTGGGTTAATGCACTTAACTGCAAAATTGGTTTGAGCCACAAGGTTGGCGGTTCAAGCTCACCAGCCACTCCTTGGAAACCCTATACAGGGTTGCTATGAGTTGGAACCGAATTGATGGCACTAACAACAACCATGTTCACCATCATCCTGAACGAGCTGGCATGACAGAAGAGTGGAGTGGCCCTTTGAAAACTCCACTGTAGTCCGAGCTAGGCAGCAATACCTTGCAGGGATGGAACAATGCTTTCTAGGAGAGGTTGTATATGCTCTAAATCAGCATCCAATGTATGGTACTGATTTTCCCACAGCCAAGATTCATGGGAATCTATCAGCAATTAGATAGATTTTCCTGGCATTACTTAAAAGCAGGGCGACTTGACATTGGAGAAAAAGCAAGGCTCTCAGGTGTTAAGCACTTTGTTCAAAGTCCTAAAGTCATTCTATTTCCCCTGGAACATGCTAATTCTCATTTTCTGACTAATATTTTCCTTTCTAAAAATTCTTTTGAAAAAGATTCTACAACCAAACCTAAAAGTAGAAGAATTTTTTAACTGGAGGAGAAAACAACATCAACAGCCAATGTCTGGCAGCCACACATACTCTGTCCTGCTCTCCCAAACAACCAACAGCAGCTAAGTCCACGATTCAGTCACACGCACACTGTTTTGACTATGAGGCTGTTACAACTCAGCTCATTATGGCCCCACTCACCCAGAATGGGCACTGAGGCAACTGTGCTACCAACTCACGGTGAACCCCTACCAACTCTGATATTCTCTGTGGCAAATGAAAGCTGTTGTATTGCATAGTTTTCAAATGAGAGCTGTCAGCACAACAATGCAAAAAAGCATGAATCTTGAGAGCGGGAATAATTTCCAGTCCTGGCTCTGCCACTTATGTGACCCTGGCAAAGTCCATGCAAACAACGTGTATGCCACCCAGTGTGTGGTAAGGGCTGATAGTCTATGTTTAGCTAGCTCCTCTCCTCTAGGAACTCCTAGGATAAGAAAGACAGCTGCAGTATCGTGTGACAAGTGAGTGGCCAGCTAGGAACATATAGGAAGAATACCTACTCCACGTGAGGATATGGTTTCAAGTGACTGCTGGGAAAGCAGCCCTAAACTCAAGCCAAAAAGGATTCAGTGCAAGGGTCATGGGATGAGCATCGCAGACAGAAGCAGCAGTTGTACAAAGGCAAGGTAGCAGGAGAGATGGTTCACTTAAAGAGCCCTCACACATTTGTCCACGGTTGTCTGGCACCTTTTGTTAATCTACAGGCTTCCTCAGGAATAGGAACCTCATGGATCTCATTTGTCACCAAATCCTGGCAGAGAACAAGCACTCATAAACACCCACTGTCTGAATGTGGCAGAGGATTAGCAGGAGGGGGTGGGAGTCACGCAGTCTGGAGACGTGGTTCCTTGGCTCTCTAATGGAGCCAGTGAGGCCTACCATGCAGGGCCATGGAGACCAAGCAGAAGAACCCAGGAAGCACCTGACTGGCAGTGTCTCAATCATAACCAGTCTGACTGCTCCAGCTCAGACATCAAAGTCTACGGGTAGCAGCTTAGCTTTATGGCTGTGGGATGGGCAAGGAAGACCCGGGAACAATGATTTCAGAACTGATCTTCCTGCTTGCTCATGGCTGAGTTCAAGGCTTCTAGTGTACTATGCTGGCATGGAAAGACACTTAATAAATACTACAGACTGAGACATATCATAATAGTTATGTGTATAAACTCTGGAGCCAGGCTACACCTAGTTCAATAAAGAGCACTGCTACTTTTCAGCTAAGAAACCATGGGCAAACCATTTAACTTCTGTACCTCAAGTTTCTTCATACGTAAAATGGGGGTGTTACTGTTGCTGTTAAGTTTGGTCAAGTCAGTTTCAACTCACAGTGCCCCTGTATAGAGTTTCCAGGAAGCGGTTGGTAGCTTTGAACTGACAACCTTGTGGTTAGCAGTCCAGTGCTTATCCTAGAATGCCACACCAGAAATGGGGGTGGTGGTGGTGGTAGTGGTTGAGTGCCAGCAAGTCGGTTCTGGCTCATAGCGACTCTGTATAGGGTTTCTGAGGCTGTAAATCTTCATGGAAGCAGAAAACTTCATCTTTCTCCTGCGAATGACTGACAGTTTCGAACTCCTGACCTTGAGATTAGCAGCCTAGCTCCCAGGGCTCCTTAAAATGGGGGTTCTAGTATCTATTTCGTAGGGCTGTGAGTCCATACAGGTAGAGCACATAAAATGGCATCTGGCACATTCCAGGCATTCCATAAACATTTTAGTTATCATTGTGGAAATCACTTCCTAGGGACCAGGATTCCTTTTAGCTCTCTGAGAGTCATGAAGTCTCTGACTTTTAGCATTTAGATGGGACTCTTCACTTGAGGTGGGGAAAGGAGCAGGTTGTTCTCTGAGCATTTTCTGACATGTTTCACGAGATTCTTATTCGGCCTCCTTCAGCACACTGGTTTACAAGCGGTCCTAGCAGCTCTGCCCCCGTGGAAACACACACAACCACATGCTCTCCCCAATCAGCTCTGAACAGCAAGCTCAATAAAACACGAGATTTAATGATCTCCCAGATTTACCTATTATCTCCTTTCAAAGGAGAAGCCACACTTAGAGGGCACTAAAATGTGTAGTGGAAAGTGATTGCTTTTCGGAACATGGGTCTTAAGAGAAAAAGAAAACTCAGTAGATAATTATTTACTTCCCTGATAGACGTTTATGAACTCCATCACAAATACTGTAAAAGAAAATAAGTGTGAGCTAAACATGGTCCTTCATTAGAATGCAACTACTAAAACAAAGCAAAATAGTCAACTAAAATACCCTACATACCTAGAAAGTCGAATTTTAAAGCCCACTTTGCAATTTTAGCCTCAATTATGTGTTTGCTCTTCTGTCTCACATAGCTAAGACTGAAACTGTGTGATCAGGAAGGGTCTCTTGTCTCCTTTGTTGCTGTTAAAGTGCCGTTCAGTCAGTTCCAACTCATAACGATCCTGTATAGGGTTTCCAGAACTCTTGGTGTACTGCTTGTAGGAGCAGCACTGGACTGTGAACCAACCATAAGGTCAGCAATCCAACTCCACCTGCTGCTCCCTGGGAACCCTATATAAGGTCACTGTGAGTCACAATCCACTTGATGGCACTTAATAACAACAACATAAGGTTTCCAAGGAGTAGCTGGTGCATTTGAACAGCCGACCTCGTGGTTCAAACCAACCTTGTGATCCAGTGCTTTACCCCACAGTACCACACCAGGACTCCTAAATACTGGAGAAAAGTATTTTGGAACAAGGTATACATGACCTCTAGGAACATAGTGCCTGTGTTAGGTCCCAAGTTTGGAAGACTTTCAAACCAAATGGAAATGGTAGCAGAAGAAATGTGTCCACTATGAGAATTCTAGCACAGAGAATCAGCAAAGCAGAAATACATTTGTCAGGAAGAGCCCTAGATATGGAGAGACAGGTTTCTGTAGCTGCCAGTGACTGCAACTATGGATTCAAACATCCCAACGATCATGAAGCCTGCGCTGCACTGAGCAGTATTTCTTCACCATGTTGTATTTAAGGCTGCCAGGAATCGAAGCAACTAACAATCACATATACTACGGCAGGGTCAGAAAGACAGCATCCATCACAGCTGGCAGCTGCTCAGAAACGCTCTTAACAAGATCTTGGGGGAGTTCACGTGCACAGTGAAGTCTAAGAAGCTCTACTTTAATATAGGCTGTGAGTCTCAAATCAAGCCATATCAGGTCCCTATTCCAGACCCAGGGAATCAATCAGAAACTTGATGGATGTTGCCCAAGCACGGACCAGTTTCCTTTTCCACAATTTTGATGTACAATCTGACTGAACGTCAATTGTTCTTGGGTAAAGATCTAGTCTCAAAGAATAAACATAATTATTCAAACTGATGTGACATGTATGGATAAGAAAACCCCCATTAGTGGGGGGTTGGGGGCTGGAGGAGCTTATAAAAATGGAATTAGTGTTCCAAAGCTGACAAATACGCTTGTTATGTGCCGTGGAGTCAGTTCCGACTCATAGACCCTGTACAGGGTTTCCGAGGCTGCAAATCTTTACGGGAGCAGAAAGCCTCATCTTTCTCCCGTGGATCAGCTGGTAGTTTCGAACTGCTGACCTTAAGGTTCGCAGCCTGATTCGTAACCACTATGCTACCAGAGCTTTGTAAGACAAATACACTTATAAGATCTTAAATGGACCAGACGTCACCCTTATAAAAGGAGAAAGTCAACTCATTTCTTCTTGGGAGGAAGAGTCTCATTTTCTTGGTGAATGCCTACTCCACCATCTTGTCTGGCACATACCTTGCTTGTCTGATTTGGTTTGATCCCAGGACCTCGAACCAACAGTGGAACTTTGATGTCAAACTCATACAGCTGTCTTTTGTCTATTGGCAAAGAAAACTGTCCTGAAAACAAAGCAAACAGGGTGAAAACAAAGTCCAAATAGAAGTACTGCTCATACTTTGCTTCACGCATTTAATCAAGAGCAAAAATTAAAACAATTTCGTTTTACTAATTACAGTGTATTAATAACAAGTTTCAAACCAATCAGCAGCAGCGGCTCCTCAGAAACCCTATACAGGGTAGTATGAGTCAGAACTGACTCGACAGCACTTAACAACAACAACATGTTTAAGTTTGTCTGGGTTTCTTATTACCACAAGGCAGAAAACACCGAGTTCTTCTTTAAACAGATGGTGAGACGGCCCTGAAAGGTGGTCTTCTTGTTTCTGCTAAGTACTGCCAAGTTAGTTCTAACTCACAGTGACCCTGTATAGGGTTTCTGAGGAGCAGCTGGTGGGTTTGAACCCCTGACTTGTACTTAACAGTCCAGTGTTCATCCTGTAGCACCACACCAGGACACCTAAGAGGGCAAATTGAGTAAAAAGAATGACTAGAATACACTGAAATACAGAAAAACCTAATTTTATAATGATACTCAACCTTGATTGCAACTGAATGAGGTTATGCCCAAAACTGCTAAATAAAGGGAAATAAACTTTATCCTGCCTTTTCTGATTTATCTTGAACTGTATTTCAAGATAATCAAATAGTTGATGAGGGCAAGTTGCTTCAGATAACGAATGCAAAAAGGACAGAATTACAAAGTCAACATTTTGAAACTTCTAAGCACTGGCCTTCGAACCACAAGGCAGACCGTTCAAACCCACCCGAGGCTCCTTGGAAACCCTATACAGAGTTTTTATGAGTCGGGATAGACTCAACAGCACTTAAAAACAAAAATAAGGGAATGATGGATTTAGGCAACAATCATCAATGGACACTTTAGCTGTAGAAATGTTCATAGGAAAGGTTCAGACTCGAGCCACTGAGCAAATCATCAACACTTGCTGTTAAGTGCAGTGGTCAGTTCTGACTCATAGCAACCTTGTAAAGGCTTCCAAGGAGCAGCTGGTGGGTTTGAATTGCCAACCTTGTAGTTAACAATTAAGTGTATTGCAGTCAGTTCTGACTCACAGCAACCTTGTAAAGGGTCCCAAGGAGCAGCTGGTAGGTTTGAACTGCCGACCTTGCAGTTAACAATCCAGGGTTTATCCTACAATGCCACATATCCTACTAGCATCCTTAAAAGTGGGGCAATCATACACCACAGGCCTCTGATGCAACAGAAAGTACACCTATGAAGCACTCTTGCCTGGAAACACAAGTGTCTATAAGCTTTGAGATCTTACCACCAATCTACAGGAAATGCTAAGTACAGAGGAGTAAGACACTATGAAACAGCAATTAGCCAAATCCAGAATGCAAGACATTCTAAAGGACAAAAAAGACCCACAGTGGCAAAGCAAAAGACTCAGAGACATAACAATCTTGTCTGTTTATTTAAAAAACTGCTAAAGCAAACAAACAAGGAAACCTGAATATACTCTGGGTATTGGATGGTATCAAGGGATTCATATGAATTTTCTTAGGGATGATACTGGCATGGAAGAGTGAAAATTATCCTCAGCAATCAGATATATATGCAAGTGTTTACAAGTGGAATCACATGATGTCTGGGGTTTACTTCAAGTTTCCAGTAAAAATGAACAATAAGGGGAGGGCAGGAAGAATTCAAAAAACTAGTCACATGTAGTTGACCATGAAGCTGGATAAAAGGGACTGTGAGGGACCAGTCGCTGGAGAAGGATATCATGTTTGGGAAGGCGGACGGTCAGAGAAAAAGAGGAAGACCCCCAACGAGATGGATTGGCTAAATGGCAACATTGATGGACTCAAGCGTGGCAACAGTAGTGAGGCTGGCCCAGGATAGGGCAGTGTTTCATTCTGCTGTGCATAGGGTCACCATAAGTTGGTACCAACTCGATGGCACCTAATAACAACAACAACTTTAAAACTTACATTCACACTGACATATGAAATGCCTGATTAATCTGCTTCTAGGTAGGCAAGGTTCATGTTAATCCCATTCACATTCATAGACGGTGAGAAAAGGAAAAACTACAGATGGTCCAAGTAGAAACGCTCAAAGGCAAGAACATGGAT